GGCTGCGCTGAAGTGAAGGAGTTTGAAGACATTCCACCCAACACAGTTAACATGGCTCTGCAGATCCCACAGTATTTTCTCATCACTTGTGGCGAGGTGGTCTTCTCTGTCACTGGATTGGAATTTTCATATTCTCAGGTCTCCTGTTGATTGTTTTTACCACCCCTCTCTGTTACACCCCTGCCTTTAGAAAATGCTGGTGTGATTTAATTTAAATTGGGAATAGCTGTCTGTTTATAGCATTAACAAGTTCTAGAAAGCATTATGGACTCTCCCGCAAATCGAGGCCCTTGAGACCACCAAGTCTTGTCTTTACTGAGTAAGAGCATTGCTTGCTCAGCTCTGTGAGTGCACATGTGCTGGTGAGTCTGTGTTCCCGCAGTCACACACAGAGATTGAGGGGCCTGGGGAGGAGCGGGTGTATTAATGCTGCTCTGAGGGTCACAGGAGTCAGTAATTCTACATTCTGAAACAACCAAATGGCACTGGCTAGGCATAAAAGTGCTCATTTATAGCTTGTTATCTTTTGGGTTCAGTCCAGGCTTTGTGGTAGCACCCAGTCAACACATTGAGTAAGGCCAGGTTTTAAAAGTGGATTAAAACATAGTGTCTTTAGGAATATTAGACTGTTGCTGGTGGCCTCTTTATGCAACAGAAGTTAGCCAGAGGCCGAACGAGACTCACAGGCAAGGCTTTATTGGGGCTCATGTTCAAATACAAGGGAGGCAGCACAAAGGAAAAATCTCAGGCCAACTCCCCAAAGGGGGTTCAGGGACACTTTGAAAGAGGGTGGGGCTGGACGCAGTGGTTCACACCTGTAATCCTAGCACTCTGGGAGGCTGAGGCAGGTGGATCTCCTGAGCTCACAAGTTTGAGACCAGCCTCCAGGCATTGTGGCAGGTGCCTGTAGTCCCAGCTATTTGGGAGACAGAAGCAAGAGGATTGCTTCAGCCCAAGAGTTTGAGGTCGCTGTAAGCTATGATGACATGGTACTCTACCAAGGGTGGTAAAGTGAGACTCTGTCTCAAAAAAAACACAGGTTCAGGTGGGAGAAGGGTGATCTGTGGGCCTTTGGAGGTAGGGGTTTTCTTGTATCTACCCGGTTCTATTACATGCTTCTGCCTGTGTCCTGTGTGTCATTAACACGTTAAATCTCTACCCCATTGCATGGTTTTTCCATTAAAATAAGGGAAAAGCAGGGTAAGGTCAATGTGGGGGTCTATTCTGGCTTGAGGCCATTAGATCTGGATGGGTCTGCTTCCTTATCAGCTGGTCAACATGTGCCTGTGTGAACCTAGATGTTACTCAAGAGACAGTTGGCCCTCCTTATATGAGGATGGACTGAATCCCTGTGACTCGGGGGGCATGTGGGGTTTGCTCTTTTATACTTCATTAGACTGGGTCACACATGTTGTCTCCCTTGGTTAGAAGTAAACTACATGTCCTGTCCCCATGTCTCAAGACTAATGAGGCAAAGTTTGTTTCTACCCACATGACAGGCTTAATTTTTTAACTCTTCTTTTTTTTTTTGGCTGGGGCTGAGTTTGAACCCGGCATATGGGGCTGGCGCCCTACCCTTTTAAGCCACAGGTGCCGCCCAATTTCTTAACTCTTTTCTAAAACCTACTGTTATAGTCATTGTATCCCACCATGCCCAGGCCTTTAATTATTGTAGTAAAATGGCAAATATGAGTTGGACAATCCCTTTCCACAATGACCTCTCAGTCTAATAAAGGGGGACTGTAATACAGGTGGTAAGAGTTTGCAGGCTTGGCGCTGTGGCTCAAGTGGCTAAGGCGCCAGCCACATACACTTAAGGTGGTGGGTTCGAATCCAGCCCGGGCCTGCCAAACAACAATGATGGCTGCAACCAAAAAAAAAAAAAAAAGCCAGGGGTTTTGGCGGCTGCCTGTGGTCCCAGCAACTTGCGGGGCGGAGGCAGGAGACTCGCTTGAGCCCAGGAGTTGGAGGTTGCTATGCCACAGCACTCTACCCAGGGGGACGGCTTGAGGCTCTGTCTCAAAAAAAAAAAAAAAGTTTGCAGAGACATTTCCGTAAGTGGCAGGAAAGCCACCAGGGGGCGAGCTCACAGCCTGCAGAGAAGCCTCAGTTGGGGGCCAGGAACCCACTACGCTGCATGGCTTTGCATGGAAAGGCTTCTGCACAGACAGAATGAGTTTGTCCATTTGACTAGGGGGACAGCTGTGCAAAGATGTGGAGAGTGAGACCCCAGGGACCCTTGCGTGCTCCTACCTGAGTGTCGGGGTCTCTTGGTACCCAAGTGATGAACCATTGTACCTTTCAACCATGTGCATTTGTAGGGTGGGCTGCTAATGAGATGAACCAGTGGGTTGTGCTCCTGCTCTGTGGCTGAGATCCAGACTGGGATTCTCTGTGCTTTGCTTCCTCAGGCTCCTTCCAACATGAAGTCGGTGCTTCAAGCAGGGTGGCTGCTGACGGTGGC